CAATTCCTGACATGTAAAATGTGCTCTTACTACCTTTTAAACAAAATGTTTATATATTAAAATCCAAAATTGTCTCCAATTCCTCAAGTTTCTATGATGTAATGACTTACAGACACATCTATGGGAAAACTTGATATACGAGATCTGGTTCATTCCTGATTAGCCACCATTGAAATGTTCTGCTCTTTGGATCAATTGCGGCTCGGCTAACAGGTCTGAGCCGTGTAACACGGAATGTCAATAGGAACATCAGCATTTCCTCCGATCGAATTCCAACTCCATAGCCCATGGTGAATAAGAGAACTCGCACATTTTCCCTACCTTAAAATTGCTACTAATGTACTTCCTGGCCTTTGAAAGAAGAAATTTTAGAAATCTCTTATTGGCCACTAGCTCTATGGTTAGTTGTGATGAACTGAGACCCAGGCCAGTGCTCAGCGACTGGTAACCTTGACAATCTCCAGCAAAGAGAAAACCATGGTAAAAACAACTGTTAACAACCGCATATGCTTCAGCATCAGCCAGGAGCAGAAACCCAGAGGTTTCCACGCTGCCAATGCCAAGGACACTTGAACGCCCCCTCTGATCTGCTTTTGTGTAATTTCCAGTTCCGGTTGTCAACTGTGCTGTACTGATGTTATGGCCTATACACAAAATGAGTGTTTCATTGAACTTAGTCTTATTTTCAAATTCTACAANTGCGGATGGCTTCTGGAAGACCTTCATTCTAAGCAGCTTTATAGAAACATTTCATTTAGAAGTCTGGACCTTCTTTCTTCAGTTTGCTGTAATCTACATTCACTGAGTAGAACTTGGAAAAGAAAAAAGATAATTTAGATAGTCTATCAAATATACACAGGTGGTACAGAAGTTTTAGGATTATTTTTATTCAGCTTTGTACAGCAAAAATTACAGACATGAATTTTTTATTAAGAAAATTTAACAATGTAAAAGTCATTCAAAGAAAGACACTAAAATTCCAGTCATTTAATAATGGTTTTGTAAGAAGAGCAATGTTAGTATTATCTGTTAGAACCTACGAAAAATTCTTCTGTTTCAAAATGAGTAATTAAGAATTCTTTCTGATACATACTTCCAATTCTTAAGTTTTTACTTCCACCTCCACTAAGTGAATCTCCAGCAGATGAAGCTCCAACAGAATAGAGCAATACCAAGAACCATCATCCCTACTTTGGTTAGCAAAGTGCTACAAGGTAAGTAGGAGACATTTACAGCAACGAGGTTAGGCTAGTAATATAAGGACATTGCTTTCTTGTGTGGTTTACATAACTTTTTAGATACAAATTGGCTTGCCTTGATGGCTTTTTATTACTTTCCTAACCTAGACTGCATCACTATAGAACTGATACCTTATCACCTCTGGTACAAGAACTTTTAAATAGTATTGTATTTTTGCTTTTAAATAATACTGTATTTAAATACTGTATATTTGGAAATTTTGTAATTTCCAAACATTTCCCTATATTCAATTAAGATTAATTTTAGAAATCTTATTATGATTGTGTAAAAAGAACCTGCCTCTCTCAATAACTTTAAATTATTTACGTTGTCCAGTGCTCTAAAGTTTCTACTAAGAAAACATGAGGATTTGTACACAAGCCCAAATAAGGCTATAATCTTGGGTTTACTCATTTTTGTGCCAAAAGCTCATAAATCTGTATCGATTTTTTTTTCAAACCCTTTGTTTTATTTCTAACTGGAAAAATTCTTATTTATCTGACTTTAAAAAAGAAAAATTCCCAGGTTTTAAAGAGATACATACAGACTTTCACAAAAAAGTATAAATAAGCCATAAAGCGGTATTCTGCGTTCTGACACTATTCTCTTACGAAGCAATTAAACCTAATAAGACTTTAAAAAAAAAAAAAAACTACACTCCTGCTAACAAAATATTAGAAAGAATATCTAAAAACTGCAGATTATACGTTAAAAAGAAAATAAACATCTGTTGGGCTCGCACTATGGGCAGAATGCTTTATCTTAGTTAATTATCACAACCTTACTCATTCTTATTTTATACGAGGCAACTGAAGATCAAGTTGCCAAACACTGAATAAGCAGCAGGATCAACCCCCACACCCATGCAGCGCGGAAAGGTCACAGTATCTTCGCCAATTTTCTCAAAACTAAGCAGGCTTCTACTGGCTTCGATTTGGTTCCATGTGCCAGTATCAAAATTCTCTGTTTAAGTAACTTTTAAATCTGCTTTATTTTTCAGCTTCCATGTCCCCATTCTTTTTCTCAATTTAATGGTGGCTACTCTGAAGGTCTCTGAACAGTTGGCAAGGCATATATTCTGATCTTAGTTTAGGGCATTTTATCCAGGTGAGAAGTATTGCAGAGCCTTTGATGCTTAAATCCTATTTTTGGCCCCTCTCTTGTTTGTATTAGTTAGCTTTTGCTAGATTGTAAAGCGGCAACAAATAACCTCGAAATCTTAGTGGATTACGACAAAGGTTTCCTTTTCGCTCACTCTATGTACCACTTATACACTCACTGCTCCATGTTCTCTGTTCCAGTCCAATCCTAAATGAGTAATCCTTAACTGTCAATTTTGGTCTTGTGACAGATGGCAAAGAACAATGGAGGGGGCCACACACTGGTTCAGAAGTTACAGATATCACTTCCTCTCATTTATAATTTGCCTGAGAGCAAGTCACGTCGCCAAACCTGATGTCAGTGGGCCAGAGGAGTAGTGAATGATAAAATCATCTAGTTTGCCTCACTGGGTTTAGAGCAATAGTAGGCTTCATTCACTCTAAGCTCTAGGCTCTGGACTTGGTTCCCTCTTATTTCTGCTTGCAAATCAACCAATTCTTCTACAAGCTCATCTCTTGGCAAATACAGCCAGTAGTCTATTAACATCCTGTTTTTCAAAATCTTTTTCCTTAACGGCTCTTCACGCATATGGTTTAACCTTCCAAGTTACAGCAGGTGACACTTTAGCGAATACTTGCCATTATGATTCATTGTTCCAGTCTAATATCAGTGTCATAGCTCCGCACAGCCCAATCTATGCCACACAGATTAGGTTTCTGTTGCAGCAACATTCTATTTCCAATTCATATGGCTTCATACTTGCACCTGTCACCGTGTTGCAGAGCATTAGGAACGGGCTTCAGAATCACCTGGGGAGCTTTTTGAACTACACATGCCCAGAGACTCAGTGGTGGAAGGACCAAGGCCTGTTTTTTTGGTTTTCTTTTTTCAAGTTTAATGGATGTGGAACCATTTTCTCTACAATGGACTTTATTTAAATAAACTTTTAAGGGAGAAAACTAAGTCACGTCTGCTTTTTTTGAGACAAAATTTTACATAGATCAGATGGCTCATTTCAGGTTCGCCGGCATATTTTCATTTGTTTCTTGTAGGGAGATATGTTTAGAGATTTGAAAGGCAAATTACAATCTGAAGGTTGAATGGAAAGCTTGGAATCAGCAAAAGGTGGTAGTTATCTTAAACGTTGCTATTATCACGAATGGTAGAGTCCATCTCAATCACGGAGGTGTATCTACTAAGGAGTTCTGGACACTCACTGGTCAGGGTGTCGCTTCTTGAAAGTGTTTAAGAAACTGCTTCTCTCTTTCAATAAAGCAGCCTGGTATAGTGGAAAGTGTATGGGTGAATTATACACTTTCAATAGACAAATTGTACGGTAGGTAAATTATGCTCTAATAAAGCTGCCCTGTTTTTGTTTTTTAATTACAAGGGTTAGCCTTTGGTACGCAGAATTCTTACACATAAGAAATATGTTTGGGGAATCAATAAATGGTCTAAACTTTGTGACAAGGTATTATACTAAGTGAGATAAGTCAGAGAAAGACAAAATACTGTATAAATATCACTTGTAGAAACTTGTAAAAACAAAGAGTAGAATATTGGTTACCGAGGGGTGGGGGAATTGGAGAGATGTTTAGGGTACAAACTTATAACTAAAAGATAAAAAAGTTCTGGGGATTGAATGCACAACATAGTGAACATAGTCAACAATACTGTATTACAAACTTTAAAGTTTCTAAGAGACTAGATCTTCATTGTTCTCAACACAAAAACATGATAATTATGTAACGTGATAAAGGTGCTAGCTACTGCTACTGTAGTAACATACTAGATAGAAACATACAAATGTATCAAACCAACAGGCTGTATACCTCAAACTTACACATTATATGTCAATTATATCTCAATAAAATAAATAAATAATTTCAGTCCAGGAAATCATTCTTTGAAAGAGTAGTTCCACAAACCCCTCTTCAGGAAAGATGTTAAAAAGTTTATCTAGAGGGTTCATGGTAAAATTTAAGTTCCAACTGATTTTCATTTCTTCCTAATCTTCACACGAAATGTTTCAACCTTACCAAGAAAGAACAGCCAATTAAATCATTCACTAAATTAGTGCTACTCAAGTAGGTTCCAGGGATCAGCGGTACCAGTATCACCTGACATCTTGCTAGGAGTACAAATTCTGTCTCCAGAACAAACCCAGTTAAATCAGAATCTTTGGGGGCTGTAGTTGTAAAACCTGTTTTAACAACCTATCCAGTTGATAACCTATGTACACTGAATTTTGCAAACCACTGCACTAGACTATCTAAGATCTATAAAAATGGTAAGCAATAGCTATACTATCTCTCCCTTTATATTCATCAAGTCAGTAAAACTGGGACATTACCTTAATGTCACATCCAGAGAGTTGAAAGTCTGAATAAAGTCCTTAGAAAAAAATATTAGAAAACTATGCCATTTTAATTTCACAGAATGATTTAGCAGCTCTTCAAAGTACATTATAATGGAATTTAACCCGTACACCCAATTTAAAAAACCTACTCCATTACAAAATTTAGTAAACCACATTTTTACAGCAATTTTAAAACAATTTTGTAACTTACCTTGTATTGCTCATTGGGACCCAGTTTGTTCCAGGGTTCTGGGTTATTCTTTCTATCCCAACTAAAATAAAACATAGTAATTGTTACAGTAATAAAACACAATTTAAAACAGTTTTGTACTTCCTAAAGGCTAAAATTTTGAATAGATCAATCTCATTTTCTATTAGGTGAAGTACGGTGTTTTCATTATAAAGGTGAAACAGATAAGATCTAAAACAAGCAATCCCATGTAATCAATTAAAAAAAAGGTAGAACGCAGAGCCTCTTGGGGTAGTCGGCCTTGTCCCTATCCCTGTCCCAGGAAAATTTATACTTAGCTGTTATTAAAGTGTCCATTTCATCAATAAAATGATATATCGAAAAGTGCATAGAATAATAATGAATCAATCTTTATTCCTTGCTTGTTGTTTTCTAACTTAAAAAAAAAAAAAAGATTCCCTATTGTGGAAAAGCAGGGAAAAATTTACGTGTACCAGCAGCCCTGATTAAGTATTTTATAAAAACAGTTGCTATTCTATCAATTTTTATAACATTACAAGATAGGTATTAGGAGTTCTACTCCACTGATGAGAAAATGAGGCTCAGAGAAATTTAGATGATTTCATGAACCAGGAAAAGTAAATAACAGAACTGGGATCTGAATTTACTGTATGAGTACAAAATTCAGGTTCTTTCTATTACTTGATATTATCTCCCCAGGAAGACTATGGCTCCTATGCCAGCTTGATAAACTATTGAAATTTTAAACGTTTTTAAGTACTTACCAAACATCTGGATTGAACAATGCCAGGCGCATAACATACAGTGCTGCTCCAGTACCTCCAGCTCCAATAAACACAAAGAGGGGGATCAACTAGAAGCAAACACAAAACAGACAAGAATAGTCATCTACAAATTCCTAGTTACTGATAACAGAAAGGTTACTGTAGTTTTTACACACTGATTTCCAAGTTTCAAACTATTTTTCGATTCTGCCTTTACATTTTTAAAAGGTAGCGCTTACGTTGTGGTAACATTTCTTATGCCTGTGTTCAAAAGCAAGAAACGGAACTTCCAAAGGATGTGAAGATGATTCTGGCTTAATACGGAAAAAAAGTTACACTCAAATTTAAGAATTTCCAAGAAATATATCAAGTTTCCTTAACCTTTCTAATATTTATGAATCGTTCCCATTAAATTTCCCGGCTTCCTTTATCTTGCGGCTTGAAAAATAAGCTCCTGGCAAATTAGTTAATTTAATATAAATTAGTTAACTTAATATAATTAGTTAATTTAATATAATTTAATATATATTAATTTATATATAATATATATATAATATATATATTATATATATAAATAATTAATATAATTTAATATAAATTAGTTAATTTAATATAAATCGGTTGTATACATACGTCATGAAAAACAAACTTTTTGAAATAATCTGAATGAAAGAGAAACGCACCTATTACAAATATCGGTTTTAGGCATAATCTCTGAAAACATACTGCTACTAACGTTTAATGCGTAGACAATCGGATACAAGATAAAATTAATGTCTAGGGGATTGAGGTTTAGGACCACAGCACGTTGATGTGCTGGGGGGAAATGAGACATCACAAAACAACTGCGATTAGACTCAATGCTTTCCAACTCCCCAAAAATGTTAAGACGCCAAGACAAGCTGAAGATTCCCGGGCCACAGACCCTCATATTTGCCACAAGGCCTGGTGGTACAATGCAGCGAGTACAAGATCCTGAACAGACAGCACAACAAATGGGGAACCTGACCTTTGCTGGTTGGGAACCCACACAGCGCACCTGCGAGCGGGCGCAGCCAACACAGCGTTCCAACACTCACAGGCTCATCGCCCTCGAATGTATGTATCCCTCACCTTCGGCCGGCCAGCCCAAACTCCAACCTGCACGGTGTAGGTCAGAGCTCAAGGGCCTAGGTCAGCCAGCAATTAGGACAAAGCGAGGCCAGGGCCAGCCTCAAGGAACGAACGACAAGTGGCTGTGAAGGAGGAAGCTCCCAGGGGATTGAGGCAGCCGCAATCCGACACACGACGGACCAGTGAAGACCCTGGGAAAGGGGTCAAGAACTTACGCTCGGGTGCTTCTTGGCCTGACCGAGGATTTGGCGCAGCATGATTGCGGCAGTGGTCTCGGGGTCCGGAAGCACAGCAAAACAAAACCGAGACGCCCCGGACTAGCTAGTGTCTGCACGGAGGTGGAGCGGACGTCCAAAGTCACCCAGGACCTCCTACCTGAAGGACCCCTGGCTCGGAGGGTAGCCTGCGGCAGGAGGGCCCGGATGCGACTGTCCGTAGCAGCGCCTGCTTTAGCCAGTGCCTCGCGCGTCTGCGCCAGACCTTCAGCAATCCGCTCCAAATCAAAGCATTCTTATTCCTGTGCAACGTATATTCCCGACAGGTAACTTTTTTTTTTTTTTTTGCGTCGAAACCAGAACACTTCTATTGACTAGACAGGCACTTTCTCAGAAGGCCACGCACTGAAAGTTGGAGGCGGGCGGACGAATGGGCCGCGAGCTCTGCGAGCGGGGTCCTCTTGCTAAGCGCCCGGGAGCCGGGCTGGCGCGAGGAGCCGCTGGGGGCGCGCGTGCCGGGCGCGCGCCGGCCGCCCCTGGAGGCCGCTGTGGGAGCTGAGCTGCGCCTGGAGCTGTGGAGCGCGGGGCGGCTGCAGGGCAGGTCGAGTCTCTCGCCGCTAAGGTCAGCGGCTGCGGTTTAAGAAGACTGCAGCTGCTTCCTGTCCTACTTAAGACTGTCGCTTATTATGTCGCTAAGGCCCTGGCCCCCAACTGAAAGTTCAATGCCAAGAAGACATTTGCGACATTGCCAGTACCCCCTCTCCCTCGGCCCTACATTGCATTCTTAAAGTGTGTTCAAGGTAGTGTCCCTACACATACTCTTTTCCAATACCCCAGTGCAATTTTCATTTATCTCGTTTGGTTTTTTTTAACCCTAAAGTCGCCCATGGGTCAGATTTTAGGGGCCACTGGGTATAACCCTAAACCTCTCCAACCTCATACGTTGTTTAAAGCATTAATCAAATGATACACAAGTAATTGGGACTGGGAAGAGTGTTAAAAAAAAAAAAAGGCTCCCCCAAAATAGGATTGTTAGACCTGAAGGAGTCACAGCCCTTAACCAAGTGAAAACGGAGGATGCAGCTGTAGGTGATATATGTGGTCTGAAGCTGGAGAGACCTATTGAGGAGCTGACAGGTCCGGTGTGGTTGGAACTGGAAGAGAGGGAGTGAGGTGAGGATCAGATCTGGGCCAAGGGCCACTTATACATCATGGGTTTTATGCTGAGAGCATTCTAGGCAGTTAAGCAAAACAAGATAGTGTGGTTTTAAATGATTGCTTTGTCTATGAAGCATGGATTGGAGAGAGACGCATGAAAGGGGAGGCACTGGTTAATGTGCCTTTACAATAGCCCATGTGTGAGATAATGGTAGTTTGCACGAGTGTGGGGAATGTGATGATGAAGAAAAGATTCCAGAGATATTTAGGAAGTAGCACCAACAGGACTTGGTGACAGGTTGAATATGGGGAAGTAAGGAAAGGAAGGAGTCTGGCGTAATTTCTTCAGAGGTTCAATTTTGACCAGCTGTGTGGATGTTGAGAGAAGAAACAACAGAATGATGGATGACTATGTAAAATCCAACTGGATTTCTGTAGGGCAGAAGAGTGATCTAGACTAGAAGAATACATTTAGGACTTAGTTTATTGATGGGAAATGAAGCCACATGACTGAAGGACATTATTTAGGGAGAGGAGGTAGAGTGACAAGAGAGACAAAGGACATGGAGCTGAGGAATTCCAACATGCAATGCTTGGAAGAGGAGATATGGCCAGCGAGATAGGAAAAAAAGATAAATGGTGATTATTAAGATGATACGAAGTTTGGGAAGATTGGTGCCTTTTTCATTTATTCAGTAAACCTTTATTAAGTACCTACTCTGCACCAGGCACTGCTCTAACAGGGAGACAGCAGTGAATAAGAAATTTGTTCTACCCTAAAGGAGCTTACATGCTGATTGGAAAAAACGAACTATAAACAAGATAACTTTAGACAGTGATAAACCAATAAAATAGGATAATGAAAGAGAGAAGGGCATGGAGTGGAGGAAAGAAGGTTACTTTACTGAGAGTAGACATGGAAAGTCTATAAATTTTGCACATTAAAGTTAGGGGAAAGAGTCCATAACGTATATTTTAAGCAGAGATTGGAAGAGTACAAATGACAATGTAGAAAATGAGGCCATAGTAGAAGATGCATATTGTAAGAAACAAATTTTAGCTTTAGAAGTAGGACTGATATTGTAGTAGATTATATTGTATACAAATATCTGCTGCCTTTCCCTGGAAGGGGATATTACTTATTTGCCTCATTAATATGAAGATGACTTCCTTATACGTATTAGCAAATGGGATGTGAAAAGGAGCATATGTCATGCACAAGCAGAAGCATTAAGAGCCAACATGTGTCATATTCTCTCTTTTCTCTCTGCCACAAGATCATCAGTGTTTGACAAAGGCTTGGCTGTCAAGGTGGGAACTGCCTGGAGTAGATACATTGCTGACCTTCAGTAGACATGCTGAGAATAAGAAATAGATCTTTATTGTTGCAAGTCACCAGATTTGAGAGCAGTGTGGTTAGGTTATACTGCAGCATAACCTAACCTACTCTGACTAATAAAGCATTTGGCATTTAAATGTGTGGTAGCATGTTATCATAATAAAAATCTTAAAATAGGTAGCACTTGATTCAAGTCCCAGCAACAGGTGACAAGGTAACTGTTACCAGAAGGTAGAAGGATGGCAGTATGTGCTTATGTGGTGCAGGAACATTTGGTGAAACAGTTCTCAATTAATTGAAAGACACTTAATGTCCCTGATGAACTCCTAGCTTTCAGTGAAATGCCAGGCAAAGGGTATGTTAGCAGCATGTGTCAGTTACTATTGGCAACAGTTGATAAGGTGTTATAAAAAAGAAATGGACTCAGAAAATAATCGTGAGTTTGCAAGCTGTAATGACAGGGAATAGAGCATCTAGAAATTAAGAGAGTTGCATAGTTGGAAAAAGGGACTGATTCTCATCTCCAGTTGTATAAGACAAAAATGGAAAGTGTTTGGCCAAAAAAGTCAATTGAAACCTCAAGATAAGGACCCATTCAAGAATGTAGCCATCACCTTTAATGAAACATCTTAGTAAGTTAAGGAGTCTCAGTAAATCCTTTTAACTGAACAATTTGAAAGCCCAGACAAATAGATAAGGGTGTAGCTCTCTCACTAAAGCCTGATTGGATCAAGGTGACTGAAATTAAATCTAGAGAAATAAAGGGGTGTATCTCTAAAAAGACTTGTGAGTATGGCCTTTGATGGATGGAGTTGACTGAAATCAAATAGAAGTAGACTGAGCAATCCTAAAAGAAACATCAGCCTTGGAATAAAGAGACTCTGTGTGAGATGTGAAATGACACGTAGACTCCCCGGTCCAGGCTTCTGGAGATGAGAAGCAGGCTGAAAGATGTGCTCATCTTCCAAGGAGGGTCTGTCTATTCTATAATGTCCTCTTTAGTGGATGAATCTAAGGCAAAACTTCCCAGAGGGTGAGGCAGGAGCCACAGAAAATAGTGCACTAGCACTAATCCCCAAATAGCAAAATCAGGGCCTATTCCAGGAATACTCCACACCGTTTGTTAGTCAGCAACAATTTCTGCCTTGTGAGATTTCAGGACTAGGTGTGGCCTTTCATTCTTTCTGAATAGGATTGTTCATGGTGGTTATCTAGTCCCTTTTCCACCATTGTATTTTGCACATGGTGAGGCAAATCACTTGACTTTGTTACTTCATAGACCTCCAGACCAGAGGAGACCTACCCAGAACAAACATAGAGGCTACAGCATCACTCAGAGATCCTGGGCTTTGAGCCGGCAACGATGATAGTAGTTTTAGGTTATCTCCCTTGGTGAGGAAGGTACATATATTTTGAAAGATGCAAGGAGAAAGATCTGAATGGTAGTATTCAGAAGGGCAGATGGGTAGATTATCTTTTTGTTCACAAACATTTAATGTCCTTACTGGGCAAAGATTATATTTTTATCTGCCTATTTATATCAAGCTTAGCCATATGTCTTGATTTGGGCAATAGAGATACAAATGTACTGATAATGCTGAAAGAAATAAGACAGTGGGGCCTGTGAAAAATTTAATGAAGATTATGATCTTTGTGAACGATCAGACCAAAAACAAGGGAGATTTGCATTTCATACAGATGGAATAGCCTGAATAAGGAAGAATAAATTAAAGCTCATAGTATAAGTGCATAACATGTAGGAACTGAGATGAGGTCAGTGTGTGATGTGAGCTTAGGTTGCATAGGGTGGGGTTATAGGAAATGAAATGGAGACGGCTAACCCAGATTTCCGAAAAGTTTAGATTTGGGACTTTATCCTGTAAGCAGTGAAGACTCACAAAATGTTTTGTATCTAAACATACGATAAAATAACTACAGCACATACTATCTTAATACATGAATTGGAGCTGTTTTCTTACCCCCCCCCCCACTCTGAGATGTATGCCTTCTGGATTTCTTCTTACTTCATTTGATTTAATTTTGTGAACAATTTTAAAATACAAAAAGAAAGTATAAGAGTAAACGTTGGTTTCCCAAATGAAATGTAAGTTGTACAGTGAATAGCTCCAAAAAATCTAGACAGCATATCAATAGCTCCCCCCAAAATTATTTCTCTTCCATAGTTTCTCTGAAGATTCAAGCCTAGAAAATTCTGGAAGGCATCGTGATTATATGTTGTTATTAATGTGTGACAGTGAAGAAATAGCTTCTTTGGAGAGGAATAATTTGATAAGTGAGCCATGAAGTACAATTATAGTAATGCAAATTGAAGGCAGAATCTTATACTTTTTACTCTGTTTGCATTTAGGCATTTAATTATTTTTCTAGCAGATAAATTGACAACTGGAGTTGTTTTTCTGATCATACAAACATAAATTATACCTTCACTTGTTAATAAAGATTCTGCAGCTATCCTTAATCTAAAAATAAATATGTTCTTCCACCAGTATTATGGTTACTTAGCATAAACTGTATTTAATTATGAAATTTCTATTAGAAAAATGAAAACATAGTTTGATCTGTGGAAGTTTACTTCCACTATTATAAATCTCAAAGATTCACATATTGTCATCAATTTAAATTAAATACCTGAAGCAGTTTGTG